TCTGTAATTTTAGAGAAATTAATGAAGAATATTTCGATGAAATTCATATGATAAAAATTAAATAAAATTGTAAAAACACGCTTCATCAATTCAAAACAACGTAATTTTGAGATTACTAAAAATAACTTATCACGGGAGAAATACTTTTTCTTTAAAATATAACTTCAAAAAACTTTTTATTATCGTTGGGGTATTTGACTTTGTTGGTAGGTAGAACCCTCATCCTTGTCGTTAGAGTTGTACGTACTACTAGCATCAATGGTGGCTTTCGTCGCTCTTGGTTGTAAAAGAGAGAGTAAATCTCATCCTAATCTTCGTTGGTGTAAATTTTGTCCATAAATGAGGAACAATCTTGCTTGGTGTAAAATTTACTCCTCTGTCAAACGGTTTATCTTCTTTTTCTTCTTCTTTTTGAATTTCTCACTTAAATTTTCAACCCTTATAAATATAGAAATCGTTCTTGTTAAAATCTCGATTTATTACTACGATTTTATATTTTTTCGATTTTTTTTCATCAAAACGATTTTACTAATATTCCAAACGCTTTTACATTTTTACGATTTTTTATAATTTTTTTACATTACGATTATACATTTTATGATTTTTTAATTCCCTATCAATTTTACTTAAGATCTCGATTTTTGCTATGAAGACAGACACACACATACATTCTTACCAACTTCTCAATCTTAACCATCCAATTTAGTTCGATATATAATATAATATTTTTCGTAAATACTTCATTGTAAAACTTTTGTAATTAATAATGATAACCTACCAGATTCCACTTGAAAGCAAAAACTTTTTGGAAAGATATGGGATAGGTTACATGAACATATAAAATATCTTCTCGAAGAATTCGGGTTCTTTATTAATTTAATTTAATTTTGTAATTTCCTTTTATTCAACAAGTAAAAAAAAAAAAAAAAGGAGAGAAAAGATACCAAAAAAAAAAAAAAGAGAGAGAATTCAATTTCTTCATCAAATTGTTAATTTTTTACTTTGCCAGGATATATATGGCCGGTATTCGTATAAACGAGTACAGTGGCGGATCCAGAAAATTAATGAAAGATGGATACTTAATATATAAGTTCAAGTACATATAGATCTGGGTCTAGTCTGGAACGTGACTTACGAGCAGCTACCGGCTGGCTGGGTCTGATTTAGATCTAGATCTGGACGGATTGCGACTCAACTGTACTGACGATGAAAAAAGAAGCAAATGTTCCAACTTCCAATAATAAAAATTGAGGAGGTTTGAGAGGAAATGAATCAGTATGTAGATGCAAACGATGTGTATGGAATAGAGTTCTATGCTGTTAGATTTGGATAATGAAGGTGGAGGAGAGAAAAAAAAACTCACAGAAAAATAGAATAGAAGGAGAAAAATTAAAGGGGTAGAATATCATAACAACCAACTAGAGTTACTATCAATGTTACTACCAATCAATTTCACCGAATCGATTATAACGATTATATTTATTTCTATTTTTGTATGGTTATGATTCTCATATTTAATGTAATAGCATTAAATATGAGAAATCATAATCATACAAAGCTGAAAATAAATATAAAGTATTAAATATGGAGAATCATAACCATACAAATATAGAAATAAATATAACCGTCATAATCGAACTAACGGTCAAATTGATTGATAGTAATATTGGTAGTAACCCTAACTGATTGTTATAATATCATACTCCTAAATAAAATGTGAAAAATTTGAATTTTAAGAGAAGAATATTTTTATATTTTTGCATCATATTTTAAGGGTGGGCACTTGCCAAGTTGCCCCACTTCTAATTCACCTAGATCCGCCTCTGAGCGAGTACACCACATTATATATAAACTTTAGAGTAAAGAATATGAGGTAACTTAATCCATTGCACATGACCCGAATCATTGATTTGAGTTCTAAGGTTAGTGATGTGTCTTGCACGATTTAATTGTAATTAATTAATTATTTTTTAAAAATAATTACCATTATATTTATTAGAATTTTTCCTTATTTTTAAGATTTTAAATTTTAAATTTTTGATCAATTTGTAATGAGACTGTAAAAGAATACTTACGAATTGAATTTGTTATTTTATTAATAGAAATTGAAAACTGAATGATTGCTCTTTTATAAAATTTCAACTTTTTATTTAGCTACATTTTCTGTACACTTTTGCCATTAAAATACATCATCGATCATTCATCGTTTACTGATTTTGAGTAAAGTAACATATTATTGGTTAATGTTTATTTTCCTCTTTCGCTAGATTTTTTATTCATGGTAATAAAAAAATCCTCTTTGACTTTTTCCCGTCATAGTTTTTCTACGTGTACCATATATAAGTAATAATATTTGGAACGATGGATTTAAACGCTAGAAAGAAAAAAGAAATAATATCTGGATCGGAGCATTTGATGTTGACGGGTATTAAAAGATTTTCTCAAATATATTCAATCTTTCAACATCAAGAAATGTATAAAAAATTTGAATCAAGGTATTAGTCTAATTAATACGACCTAAGTTACCACTCAATATACATTTATTTCATGCAATACTATTATATATATATATATATATATATATTTTTTTTTTTTTTTTTGTTTTGAAAAATAAATTTAAGGAATGGAAAAATTGTCTTAATTTGAAGTTAAGACATATTACGAGTTTCAACTAAGATATTTATAATACCAAATGGTGGTAGTTCTGTTGGCACATGAGAGCTGAACATGTGCGAGTAAGAACATGTGTTTGATCCTCTCTAATATCATCTTTGTGAGGAGTTTAAAGTCTTAATTCTAGATCCACCTCGAATCGAATTAGTCACTAAGCAATAAATTGATTGGAATATTTCAAAAAAAATAAACTAAAATTTATAATAAATATTTATAGATAAATAATTAATAAAAATGTAAATGTAGAACATTTTTTTATCGACGTCGTTGTTTGATTCTTCAAATTGCAATACAATATTTATTCATAATATTATTATCTTTAATTAAAAGTTTGTAGTCCTTTGTTGGGAGGAAATATTTTAATTACCAGCATTTAGAGCCATAATTTTGTTTTGTATTCATAAGCACCTTTCAAATGATAAACGAAGACTAACTATTGTCACTGTATTAAGCACAGTCTAGTATGACTAATTAGGTTACCACTCAATGTACATCTAATCAAGCTTTCATGCAATATTATTATATATTATTTAGGTAAAAAATAAATTTTAAGATTTGGAAAAGTACCCTATTATCAAGGTAGGACTGTGAGTTTTAATAGTAGATCATTTTTTTTTTTGGTAGATAATAGTAGATCATTTTTATAGTATATCAATGTTGTCCGATACTCAAAGAGATTCAATCTCATTTACAATATCATTATTATATCATTAATTGAAAGTTTGTTATCCTTTAATTGTTGGGAGAGGGAATATTTTAACTCCTAACCTTTAAAGCTCTAATTTTGTTTTGTTTTGTTTTGTTTTCGTAAGCACCTTTCAAACGATCATAGGAGACAAACACGTGTCACCGTATTTAGCAGTCTTTGGACGTAGATGCATAACACACTATTTTAATTTTACTACACGTACACGGCTACACAGAAAGCCGCGAACTTCATCGTTCATTGAAGTTGTATTTCTTACGAAATGATACGTAATTGTGTTGAAAAGACACGTACTATTAACTAATCAATTCTCTTATTATAATATTGAATAGTGATATCATTTGGAAATTTCGGGTACCTACAACATTGGAGCTTCCATCAATAAGCTGACAATATAGGAAGCATAGTCTACCTGGTAACCTTGTAGAATATAACATTGTAGAAAATTGGGTGAAAGTGATGGGTGGTTTCCTATTCCTATCATGAAAAAGATAACGATTTGCAAATAGTTTTGCTCTTTTATGGTTTCCTATAATTTGATTTGATTATATTAGAGTAATTTCGTAAGGAAGGGATTTCTATGATCACATCATGGGAGAAATGACAAAATTTATAAAATGGAAAAGAGAAAACAATCATTTAAATTGCTTTCTGTTGATTTATTAATTAATAGTTGAGATTGGTGGGAAGTGAAAAATGATATATTAACATATTAGGATTTCTTTAATATCCAAAAAAAAACATATTAGGAAAAAAAACGATAGATTAAAATATAAGGAAAATGGTCTAATTGAAAAGTATATGTTAAAATATTAGTCAAGGAAAATGATAGATTAAAATATAAGGAAAATGATATAACGGAAAAGTAATCACTTATATAATAAGTATTATAATCTAATCTTTTGCGTGGGGTTTATGGAATAGGTCGGTAATACCTCATATTATAATATGGTTAGAAGTCTTTCAAACTCGTTTGCGTAGAGTCTTGTTTGGAGCTGTTTTAAGGAGGGAGAAGAAGTGAATTATTTTAACTTTTTCTCCCTCAAATTTCCAAAATTTCCTTTTCTCAAATCAGGTAGTAAAAAAATAATACTAAAAATTAAATAAAATGAAGTAATATTCTCAATTCTCAACAAGATTCATGAAGATGATTTGCCTCATTTCTTTATTTAAATATTCAAATACAGGACCAAGTTGACTATTTAAATATTCAAAAGTTACAGGAGAGTAACTTTCTTTTAGAAGATAGAAATAAAAGGTAATATAAAAAACAAGGAATTTGTATTTGTCATTTAACATGACACAACAAACTTTCCTACACACACAACATTTTGTGAGGCCCACACTTTTTGAAGAAAAAAGATAAAAAGAAAATTACGGCACGCAAAACGAATCTCTATAACATTACACAATCATTTTTCCTACAACATAACTCTTATAAAACTCAAAAAACAATTACAAAAATTATTACCTTTAGCTACTTCCCTTGGTTTTGATTTGTCTTCGTAGTGTCCTTGCATTGTTGATTTTTTTTCTATAAATAGTCAAACAGGACCCTTACCAAATCAACTCCAAAACAAGACTTTCCTCCTATGCAGTGTTTAGAAATCCATTAGGAAAGATGATGCAGCCTGAGATCCAGAAGTCCCAATGGTCATTTCATGAAGTCATGAACTCAACTTTTGATGAACTTGTTGAGCCCTATGACTTCACCATAGATGACTATGTTGGTGAATGTGGGACCTATGGCTTTGCCATGGATGACCATGTTGGTGATTGTGGATTCAATACTCTTTTCAGAACTCCTCAGGATAGTGCTTCTGAAGTTTTCTCTATTCCCTTTCCTAACACCATGTTAACCAATGATCATATCCAATACCCAATTGAGCAAGAAACCCTGCAACTTCCATCACTTATGGAAGATTTCCCCATGGAATTGGATGATTTTGATTCCATTCTGAATGCTCAGGTTGTTGGTATTGATGGCTATGGATGCCAAGAAGAAAGTGAAGGTAGCTTCCCTTCACAGAATTTATCCAGTGAGGTAGAAGATGCATGGAGTCCTACCCCATCAGTGAAGTCACAATTGTCCTCAATTCAACCTTCACCAACCTTGCCACAAGAAGGCATGGAAATTGACAACCAAGTGAGTCTTCCACATCTTATGGAGGCTTGTGGAGAAGCCATGGAGCAAGCACAAAAAGCACTAGCTGAAGTGATCTTGAGATGCATAAGCCAGAAAGTTAGCCCACTTGGTGAATCTCTTGAGCGCCTTGCATTCTATTTGTCTCAAGATATGACAAATCAAGGAGAAAATCTCAAAGGGGAGGCCTTCAAAAACTTTGAGGCTTCTTTGAGGGCATTCTACCAAGGGCTCCCAAATGGAAAAGTTGCTCATTTTGCAGCTGTTTCAGCAGTTCTTGAGGCTATACCAGAAGATTGTGATGTTATACATATAATAGACTTTGATATGGGACAAGGGATTCAATGGCCTCCAATGATTGAGGCCATTGCTTGCTTGCACAAAACATTGAAGTTGACATCTATCAAATGGGGTGATGAAAGCCCTGAATCTTTGTCCACTCCATGGACTTTTGAGGAAATCAGAAGGCAGCTCTATGAGCATGCCAAATCCTGTGGTTTGAAGTTGAAGGTAGAGGAAAAGGGAGTGGAGGAATTGATCACTGAGATGAAGAAAATGAACAAAAGGGGTGGGAAGAGAGAGTTTTTGGCCTTCAATTGCATGGTGGGACTTCCACATATGGGGAGAGTAATGAGCAGAAGACATGTCTTGGAGTTTCTAAGTTTAGCTAAGGATTTGATCAACAACTCTGGCAACAGGGGAATTGTCACTTTTGGGGATGGGGATGCATTTGAGAAAGTGAAAAATAGCTTGAATTTCAGGTCATTCTTTAATGGACATTTGGTGCATTACCAGGCCTTGTTAGAATCAATCGAGTCACATTTCACAACTCATTTGTCAGTAGCAAGAACTGGCATGGAGTGCTTATTTGTGGCACCTCATATCTCTTCTCTTGCTTGGTTACAAACATGGGAGGAGATGAAAAGGGATTGCAATCTTCATGCAGATATAAGCATGGAGGGTTGTAGATTGAGCAAAAAGATTTTAATGGAAGTCACAGAAGTTTTGAGAGGAAGTGAAGGTTCATATCAGGCCAGGATTGAAGGACAAAATGGTAATGAACTTGTTATTGAATGGAAAGGAACCCAACTATTAAGATTTTCGACTTGGAAAATTTAAAGGATAAGGAGGAAGGAGTGCACATCACTTTTTTTGGGTACACCAATCAAAATTACACATTCAAAGGATAGTTGATAGTGATGACAATTTGATTTGTACAGATTCATGCTCATATATATCAACCAAAATAAATATAAAGACCTTTATTCTCAGTATTTTGCTCAATATATAACATAATTTGTTTCCAAATGTACTTTCATTGTACCAGTTGCTCCTTAATTAAACTACTGAATGAAAATAGAAATAAAATGCAAGATTTGTTCTTAGATTCGATTTTGTCAAGATCAAAGATATTCTACATCAATCATCCACATAGATAAAATTAAGAAGAAATACAATTAGGATCCGGGGACAAACCAAAAAAAGTGAAGATAATTATGTAATGTAACTATAATGACCCTAAATGGTAAATCTTAATTAGAGATTTAATTTAAGGATTTAAATGCCATAATTAGATATACTGAGTGATTTCGAGTATTTTGACTGTAATCATGACTAGGTTATGAACAGTGCGTTCTGTCGGAGAATTTGCAGTCTTGTGAATTAACCGGTAGAGCTTAAATTAGTAAAATAATTTTAGAGACATAATTTGACAATTCTGACGTCAAATATGAATTCAGAATGGAATTTTGTATAATCTAGCAAATTTTGAGAACTGTGGTTGGATTGTATGACTGTTATGATGCTTTGTATAGATGCATTCATATAGAGTTATTTGATGCTATAATACGTTTTGTTCTGATATGACTTCTGTAATATGATTTCTGTAATAATCTTTGGCCATTGATTGTATAGTACCCTGATGTTCGCTTTGGGGTCCTCCCTCGGGACTAATGGTGTACACCTCTGATATGTCTGGTTCCGCTTTGGGGTCCTCCCTCGGGAACATGTGCGTTGATTTCCGCTTGGGGTCCTCCCTTGGGAATGACGGCGCACACCTCTGATATGATATGGATATATGCTCTGTGCTGTTATGATATCTGTTATATGTTGTATTCGTATATTCTGTATCTGACTTTCATGCAGGAGTAAGTCAGGGGTATGGAGAATTCTCTATAAACCTGGAGCTTATTGAGATTTGTAATCTCACCCCTCGTTGGGGCCATATTTTCAGGTGCCCAGATCCCCGGTGAGACTTCTCTAGTCAGGGACGCGACACGTGGCTGAGGATTGGGACAGATTGGATTTTGAGTAGCTGTAGACTACTTTTATTTTGGAGTATAGTACCTTCATTTAGTATTTTCGTATTTTGTGGATCATGATGTTAGATCCTATATTTTGTATGTGGCCTGTATATGTTTTGTACATGTCTGTCAGTTTGAGGCATGTACATTTGAGTATTCAGGTACGTTATATGATGATGTAGTATTCAGTTATGTTTATGTATTGGATTGCATGCTGTTAGATTAGCAGCACTGAGCCAAGTTATGCATGCGCCCATGAATGGGTATCTGATTATATTTGCATGACTGGTACTTCTGGATTGATGTGCTGTCTAAACTGTTTATCAGGAAATGCTTATGAGGGGGATTGGAAAATTCCCAGTTGTCCGATTTATAGAGAAAACTCTGTTCGATTTTCGTTTACGTCGAATGAGAATTAAAAAGAAAAAGTTAGCTCGTATTTTCGTAAGTTAAGTCTTCCGTTGTTTCTGTTTATATCATGTGTATGTTAATTGAATCGGCTCGAAACAGGCATGTTAGAGTAACTATAATCCAAAATCATTAATCTTCATGTCAAAAGAAGGTTAGTACTATTCCCTGTTTCAAAGTTCAAAACTTGCTCTATTTCACTTTCTTTTGATCTTTTCTCTTTGTAAATGAATAAACCTAATATTTTAGTCTCATATATACAGCTTTTTTCTATATTGAAAAAATTCCATAATCTTTTCTAAAGAGGCTAACAAGAGGGAAGCTTGTAAAGAAATTTAAAACAAATTTGTGTAAATTTTAAATATTTATAGTTTATACTTATACCATTTATAAGTTTCGTACATTTAATATTTTTTTTTATAAATTTTTTATTTCTTGAAAACTTTCAATTTAATAATTGAATTGGTGAAATTTAAATTTATAAACATTTATTAAAAAAGTATAAGTATTTCAATATTTATAGTTATTATTAGTGGATCACGATCACATCTATATATATTTTTAAATAATACATAGTTTTGTGTTGTCAAAAAGTTATAACCAAAGTTAGAGCAATTTTCAGTAAACAAGTCTATCCAAAACTACTCATGAGTATTTTGGGCATGTTTGGGGTGACGTACAAGGCCTGATAGTATAAGTTTATACTATATATTATGACATTTTCAGTTGTTTAGCGTGACTATCGTATAATATAAGCTTATACAGCAGGATCCCTTAATACATCAAAATGACGTATAACTTAATCCGGCCTAAGGGGGAGGGATAAGGCCTGATAAGAGGTTGGTGTATCAACATCGTTGACCAGTGTAGTTCTCAAAAATTAATATATTATTTTAATATTAATATATTAAAATAAAAATTAATTTTTCAATATATTAATTTTTAAAATATTAAATATTTTTATTTTTATAAAAATCAATTTATGTTTTGGACACACAGATCAATAAATTTTTATAAAAATTAATATCATATGATATTTTTTGAAGAATTATATAAATTCTTTATTAAAGGATATTTTTTATTAAATTTTTTATCCTATATAGTATTATACAGTGCATTACCAAATACTATATGATATTATCTTATACAATATATTATTTTATACAATACCGTGCCAAATGCTGGATAGTATTAAAATTCAATCAGGTATTATACAATCAGGTCTTATCCTATACTATGCACCAAACATACCGTTTGTTTCATAAATATATCTTCAATATCACATACAGGCTATCTTTAATTTCGATATGATAAGAGTACATTCTAATATGAAAAGCAAAACATAAATAACTTTATAGGTTTATTTTTCTTATGTTACATAAGAAATAATCTATCTTAACCTCCAAAAAAGAAAGAAAGAATCTATCTCCTACATACATAAATTCAAGATAAGTCTTATTTTATATTTTTTCTCTCACTAAAAATGGATCTCACATGCATAAATGAATATGTAGGAAATAATAGTTATCTCTTACTACATACAAAAACTATTACCCTAACTTTTATATGAACTTTTATTTTTTTTTGCATAAAAATAGCTTCTTCTTTTTTTTGGAAAAATTATTTTATATATTTTCTCTCAAAATATGACACTATTTTAGGAAGTTACTTCGCATATTATTTTGATCAATTAACATTAATTATATACATAAATATTATTATCTAATTTTATATAATTAAATATATAAAGAATTTGACTATAGATAATATAAATTGATCAAATAAAAACTGAAATTGTTATTTTTCAAGCTCTAAAAAGGTGAATATCCTAATTATCGAAATGAAAAGTGTTTCCCTCCCCTAAATGGAAAACCAATTTTCAAACCCATTCCCCTTCACACTTTCAGAGTTGAGTTCACAAACCCCATTCAATTTTCTTTCTCGTTTCTGAAGAAAAGGGAAAAGTATTTTCCTAGAAATGGCGGATTCGTCGAGAAACATCGACGTGGAGGAGCTGGTCTCATTCGGCGACGACTTCGTAAAGGCATTGAAGGACCAGCGTGACATTAACAACCTCTCTCACTGTCTCGAACAAACCCTTTCTCTTTCTTCAACCTGCAACTCTGATTCCAACGAAGTTCGCTCCTTGCTCCAAGGTAAATTGCTTTTCCCTTTTTTACTCTTCATGGGTTTTTCACTAATTTGTGTCTCACTCGTGGGTAATCTTCGAATTTTGTAAACGAAAATTATAAAAAATAATTGTGGGTGTTTGAGATGTTTGGTTAAAGTTTTCATTTTTACCATTTTTCTGCTTGCGATGATGGTTTTCCAGTTCTTCCCATCATTATTTATTTGCTAATTTGTGCCTTTGGCATTGGCAAAGTGTGTGATTTGAATCTCCACGGTGAACAACAGTGACTTAGGGCATGTTTAATTGTGTCGCGGCTTTTTTTTTTCTTTTTAAAACTGTTTTATAGAATAGTTATGAAAATAAGTGTTTTTTATGTTTTGGAAGTTAAAAACCAAAATAAAAAACAAAAATAATCCAGACATGTTTTCCAAATTTGATTCTAAAATAAATAAAAAAGTAATAGTTTTTAATTTTTTTTTACAAAACAGGCTTTATCAAACGGATCTTTTTGGGGTTTTTTTTTTTTTTTTTTTCTGTTTTTAAAAATAGTTATCAAAATGAGCCTTAGTTTTATGTGTTTTGATAATGTTGTGTTTGGGTTTGTACTTTTAGCACCCAACTACCCATGTTTGTGGAAATTGGGTTTTGCCTTATTTGTAGAAATCGTTGAACATTGCAAACAATGATAGTAAGCAAGTGTGGGAATTAAAGTTTCTACCCCCCTCTGTATCACTGATTGGACATTCTTATTTGCTGTGTCTTTGGGTGTTGAAGAGACGTGTGTTTTTATGTGCAATGTTAATATTGCAATAGGGGTTATAGTATCCATGTTTGTGGCAATTGGGTTTGTTTTCACGAGGAATAAATAGATCCCTTTTCATTCTATATTTGGGAGATGTTGCAAGTTTGGTGATGTTGATTTCCAACTTTTGATCACAAGTCTTTGTTAACATTTTGAAAACTTGAACAATATTATAAATCACTAAAAATGGGGTGCAAGTTTGCAGCAAGGTGTTTCAATGTTTGTATTCTCCCTCTCTCTGTCTCTCTATTGGTTGTGGTGTCACCTTTGTCAGTTATTTAATTTCGTATTTAATTTAAATAATAATACAAAGACAACACTTTTATCCCAAACTAGTGGGGGTTGACAAATATCATCTGTTTTCATCTCATAAAACTAGCTCTTTCTAACAACCGGGTCGCTACATCTGATGCAACTCTACTCATTTATCCTAGCTTGGAACAAGCTAGGTAAACATACATGATAGTTAGTTAATTTAAATAATGCTAATGGAAAATAAAATTTGTTGTTTGAGTTGATAGAAATTTTACCTGTGATTCAAGTAGAAGTATCTTGCGTGTGGCATTGCCAATCAGTACAATCTAAAAGAACTCCTATAAATTTTTTTCTTTATCTCAACTAGCTCATATTAATGTTATCTACTATGGGTACATCTTCTTGATTGTATTATGCACTTGACCAGTGCTTCCATGAATCAGATTATCAGAAAAAAATAGAGTCATACAAGCAGAAAATAGAGGAAGCTAGATCTGAGACTGCTGCTGATGCAGCACTTGACCTTCTTCAGAGAGAACTGGAGGAAGAACTTGAAAAGGAACGCTTGTTGAAAGAGGAGTTTAGATAAGTCTCTTGTTGTTTTCAGCTGTTCAATTGCATGCTCTTTTTGGATTATTTACTTTCTTGCATGACATATCTTACCATCTATTTCGCATCAACACAGCCATCAGCAATGAGTTTAATGATCTAGAAAAGCAATGGATTTCTATCCAAGAGCAAAGGAAGACTTCACTGAAAATTGAGCAAGATAGGCTGAGGACACAGTAAGTATTTTGGAAAACTTGAATCTAATATTGTAAAGCTGATACATACATGTAATGTTATTTGTTATCCATGTTCTCTTTCATATTAGGGTCTCAATCGTCAATTATAATAATAGAGTCAGTTAATTGTTCTAAACTGATGACAGTTCTTGACTTTTACATTTTCTATGTAAATTGGAGCATAAATGCTTTCTTTTCTTTTGTTTTAGGATGGTACTTTCAATGTATGCTTCTGTCACAAATATTGTGCCAAACTTGGATGATCAGTCCAAAATTTCAGGCTGTATCCTTTTGTTGAGTTTACTACTCTGTCCCCTCATCTCTTTCTTCTTCAGTTATTTTGTATATGATGTTGTCTGTCCTTCAAAAAGACAAAAATTGCTTGCTCCTTAAACCATAATGCAGATATTGTGAAAAAGGATAAAAATGCGGTTGAGCAGTTTGAATATGACACCTCCAAGATGAAGACCCTTGATGTTTGTAATGATATCTGGAAAATGATAAGCGAATGATACATGTTTGACATGCCTCTATTAGATGATAGTTGTAACAATATATCACTACACAACTTTGAGTGGCATCTGAGGAATCCCTCAATTCACTTATTTAATGGTGTAACAATTCAATGTCTTAATTTATGAATGGCAATCTTGCAATGTTGATGTTGACTAGTGGGGGAGGGGAATATAGTTTGCTATACTCAGTTTCATTGGCTGGTTTTTCATGTCAAGAATCAGATACTAGTTTGATTTGAATCATTACCTATTAATTAGTGTGCATTACACTTTACCTTTGTATATGTATCATCAAATTGTTGAATATGGATCTGATTGACTGTGTTTCCGTTTTGTGTTTTGACTAACATGTTTTTGAAGTTATTTAGTGGAGTAGTTTAGACGAACTAATGTTCAGAATAAAAGAAAAAATTTGTTTGATAATATTGTTTCCAAAAGAGTTTTAAAAGTCAAGAAAAATAAAATAAAAATAGGAGCATGCTGTAATTGGCCAACTATGGAAATGCAACTGCTGGGACTTATTTTTAGTTTGACACCTTGTGCTTTTATAACATATTCTACCGCAGTACATGAAGATGAATGTTCAACTAAATTTAAGATCAAAGTATGAAACCCAAAAGAAAGCCAGCATTCAATTCAGCACCATAAATTTCAATAAGAAAGGGCACCATTCTCCTCAGTATTTCATCCATTATTACATCAATTGGGAAAAATGGTGTATTACAAACATCTAGAACAGAAAATAAGTATTTTATATGCGAATGGGGAAAATGAGGAATATCAAAATATGGCAGTCATTTATTTTAGATTCTAAATTTTTATTTTACAATTTCTTGATGCTTGAAGGGAAATTTGAATTTTTTATACCCTTCTCTTCACCTTTATACAATCACATTAAATTCATCTTCCATACACATGACATGAATTTTACGAATGAACTTGTTAGTTCCAGAACGTCAACATGAGCTGGAGCCAGAAATTATGCAATTTCTCATAAAACTATTATACTTCCAAGAAATATAAATCTAGTAGGTAGTTGAACATAACAGCAGCCCCACAAATTTTATACTCAAAAGTAAATAGAAACTTAGTAAGTATTCGCCTCTTGTTAATTTCTACGTGATAGTTAAGGCAATAAAAGTCATATTTTAATAGACCATTATCATTACTTATAACCTAGTATTACTACCCAGAATTTGACTAAATGCGATGAACACTTTATGCATTGCACACATATTCTATAGTCCTCTAGGAGGAAATAGAGGTCAAGAGAAAGTAAGAGAGAAAACAAATAAAAGGGGAACCGGGTCTGCACATCAAATTCTGCCATTTTTCTTCTACATTTTAGTACTAACAATCTATAACTAGAGAATCTTTTAAAGTCTGGATGACTCTCTTCAAATGCTGCATGCTTCAGCTCAAATATTTTTAAGCCATCACCACAGATTAAATAGCGTAATTGATCCGTGACATGGATATGAAAATACGTATTGACTAGAAAAGAAAAAATATAACCAAAATGAAAATACATGACATAAAAATAGATAGAAGTCAATTCATAGACAAAGTTGGCATCACACAATTGTAAGTGCCAAATAGGGAAATATCAAACACTTAGTACAAACCAAGTAGGATAAGGGATAAAAGGACTTAGTTTATCCATTGAAAAATATTTTATGTTGTTATCAGTCAAGCAAATCATCTCCAATTGAGATTTTTTTAATATGGTTCCAGAACACGATGAATTTGGTGATCCTTTACCAAAAAAGGAATTTTTTTTTTTCTATTTATACCCTTATTTTTTTACTAAATTCCCTCACAATCTTTTTTTTCTCCTATTTTTGAAAGCGAGCACAAACTCCCACTCCATCAAAAACAAGCTCCCTGTTGTAAATATTTGTTATTTTATTATTATTAGATTTTTCATTCTCTATAAATAGAGACCTCTTTGTACAGATTATACACACAATTAATAATATTTTCTGATTACCCTTTTTACAAGTCGGTATCAGAGCTCTCGATCCTGAGGGTTCTGCTTCCGCAATTACCGCTTCTCCTTTCCTCCTCTCGCTGCCAATCAGCCGCCACTGGAAATTTTTTCCGGGGACCTTTTTTGGACCGAGAGAACCTGTTTTCAAACCTTTTTTCTCTGATCTATCAGTCTATGGACCTTTTACAATCAATTGACGACCGGATCTCTTAAGAACGACTCAAACCCACTACTGTTCATCACTGGAACAGTACTTTCTGGTGACCGTTTGGACTCCTCTCAGCCACAGAAGGGACCGCCACCTCCGGACGACCTCACGGTGAAAATCCCAGCTCCGGCGGCCGCCGCACGCGCTCCCACACTCCCAGCGAGTGAGGCCCACTCGCAGACACCTCCACCGGCGCGTGGAGGCGCGTGACTGCTTATTTCCAGCTCCGGTCAACAGCGTTCTGATCGTCTCTTCATCCTCTTTCTGGATCTGTGATTTTTTCTCAGATCGGACGTCGTTTGGTATTTTTTCCATATTTTTTGGATACTTGGTGCTATTCTTTGACAAGTTTTGTGCAGTATGGCCTCTTCTCAAAGGAGTTCCTTTACCAAGTTTTCTGATGGTGCATCTTCTAGAAGAGATGATCGTTGGTGTTCTTATTGTAAAAGAACAGGTCATATCAAAGATCTATGCTTTCGCCTCCATGGAAAGCAAACTGTCTTAGAAAAGATGGCAAAGTTGCGTGGTCAAGCGCATTTTACTTCCTCTGAAATAACTCCTGCACCTAATAAGACCCAACCTGCATTTCGTCCAGATGAGTTGGAACGGCTCCGAACCATTCTTGATTCTATGAGTAAGCCATCTGATACTAGTGCTTTGACTATGACTGGTATGAGCTCCAAAACTTATTCTTTCCTTTCTTCATGTAATGATTTTAAACATTCTTGGGTTGTTGATTCTGGTGCTACTGATCATATGGCTTGTTGTGCTGACTCCTTTACTTCTTATTATCCTACCATTGGAACTCATACAATAGCCGTAGCTGATGGCTCACATACATCAGTTGTAGGTTCTGGTGACATAAACCTACAGCAGTCCTTACATCTTAAAGATGTTATTCATGTTCCTAAACTCTCCACGAATCTTCTTTCTATTCATAAAATCACAAAAGATTTGAATTGTACTGTAACCTTCTTTCCTACCCATTGTGTTTTTCAGGATCTCGCCACGGGGAAGACGATTGGTAGTGCTAAAGAGCAAAGTGGGCTGTACTATCTGGTGTCACAACCTCCCGCAAATAAAGTAACAGATCACATCTTGATGTCTCATGGTCAATCAACTGCTGATTCTTTGATTTGGCTTCATCATAAGCGCTTGGGACATCCTCCATTTAGTTTACTCAAGTCTTTATTTCCGTCATTGTTTTTGTCTAAACTTGTTGAGTCTTTTCATTGTGATGTTTGTGAGTTTGCTAAGCATCATCGTGTGTCTTTTCCTTCTTGTAATACTAAGAGTGTTGAACCTTTTGATCTTATTCATTCTGATGTTTGGGTCTTTCTAAAGTCTCTCATGCTTCTGGAAATAGATGGTTTGTTTCTTTTATTGATAATTGCACTCGTATAACTTGGGTTTACTTAATGCGTGAAAAGTCTGAGGTACCACAACTGTTCTTTCAATTTTATAAAATGGTTGAGACCCAATTTGGTAAAAAAATCAAGAGACTAAGAACAGATAATGGTACTGAATATGTTAATCATCGTTTTTCCCAATTTATACGAGATCAAGGTATGAGTCATGAACTTACTTGTGTTGACACCCCTCAACAGAATGAGGTTGCTGAAAGAAAAAATCGTCACCTTCTTGAAGTGGCTCGTGCATTAATGTTTCAGACACATGTACCCAAATACTATTGGGGAGATGCTATTCTTACTGCAGCATTCTTGATCAACCGTTTACCCACTCGGGTACTTGACCATGTAAATCCTATTCACTCCATGACTTCTTTTTCCCCTTCTATTCCAACTATAAGTCTTCCTCCACGAGTGTTTGGGTGTGTTGCTTTTGTTCATGTTCATAAACATCATCGCAGTAAGTTGGACCCTAGGGCTATTAAATGTGTTTTTCTTGGTTATGTTCCTGATAAGAAGGGCTACAAGTGCTATCACCCTGGTAGTAGGAAATTTTTTGTTTCTATGGATGTTACATTTCAGGAATCTGAGTCCTTTTTCCAAGGTCCTCATCTTCAGGGGGAGAATCTTTCACCAGAAATCTCATCACCTCCCTTATTTGAGTTTGAATCTTCAGTGTCTACTCCTTTACCTGTGTCAGTGTATCCTCCTCTTGGTCCTGTTCCTCCTATGTCTAATCCTCGTGTGACTGATCCTCCTGTGATTGATACATCAAGTACACCAGAGATATGGAAGATTATGACACCTGAGTTGGTATATCAAAGAAGGAAACAGCCCACATTGCCTCAGCAGCAACCTCAATCGTCTGAACCACTGGTAAGTCCTGAATCTCATATTTCTGATCATGATGTTAATACTTCTGATGACTTACCCATTACTACTGATTCTGATGATTTACCCATTGCTCTTAGAAAAGGAAAAAGAGCTTGTCCAAAGAAATCTTGTCCCTCCTGTCCCTCTTGTACTGAATACCCTATCTCCCATTTTGTTTCCTCTGCTAATCTTTCTGTGCAGCACAAAAGCTTTGTTTCAGCACTAGACTCTATTGCAATCCCAAAATTAGTACATGAAGCCTTGAAAGATGGGAATTGGGCTCAAGCCATGCAAGAGGAAATGAATGCGTTGGAGAAAAATAAAACATGGGTGGTTATTGATAGACCTAATGGAAAGAGAGCAGTAGGGTGCAGATGAGTTTATGCCCTGAAATATAATTCTGATGGAACTCTTGAGAGATACAAGGCTCGATTAGTTGCCAAAGGTTACACTCAAACCTATGGCATTGATTATGAAGAAATATTTGCTCCAGTTGCAAAGATGAATACGGTGAGAGTCTTGTTATCCTTTGCTGCCCATTACAATTGGCATATAAATTAATTTGATGTGAAAAATGCTTTCCTCAATGGTGAGTTAAAAGAAGAAGTCTACATGGAAATCCCGCCTGGTTTTGATTCTGTGAAGGGAGAAAATAAAGTTTGTAGGTTAAAAAAGGCCTTGTATGGATTGAAGCAGTCACCTCGTGCCTGGTTTGGAAGGTTTACTAAGGTTATGATGACCTTAGGATACAGACGGAGTCAA